ACTCAAGGACTCTTGCACCCATTATTATTAGAACCATTGACTAGAACCAATACCTGCTGTGTCTTGGGCCTTCCAATTTCCCTCATCTGGCTATTGGTATATCAATCAGGTAAGTCAATCTGACAAGGTGGACAAGTCTGAGGCTCGCATGCTGACTGGTGTTGCAACTTGTGATTGTCATCAGGCCCTAGGGCTCTTTCTTGTTCATAGTTTCTTGCCTTCCAGCGCTGGTCCATTAATACCATGACCCTGATCTCATCTATCTCTGCTGCTACTGAATTATGAAGGAAGGAAAATGGGCTAGGTGACTTCTTGAGCCATCATCCCAAACACTATCTAATCCCTAAGACCCTCCTCAGAACTGAATGAGGCTTATAAGATGAAGGGCTCTTCCAAGGCCATCAGAATCAGAGCCTGCAAGGCTAGAAGCCAAATTCACATCCCCCAAGGCCCCCTACATACCTCCAGTTGGGGAGCTGATACTTGGATGTCTTTGAAACTCAAGGACACCAATTCTGCTCACATCTAGAGGGAAAGAGAGGAGACAGACATCTGAGAATTAACCATCCTCAGACATGTCCCTGTACGGAAAAGTGGCTTGCAATTATTTCCCAGTGCCTCTCAGGCTTTCTTACTATCTCCTGCAGGCAAGCTGGTCTCAGCTGGAGAGGCTTCATCCCACCCAGGCTCTTGCACTACCCAGCACCCAGAAGTGCAGCTGCAGCTCCATGAGCCTGTCTGTCTGAGGCACCCACCTTTAACATGTATATAGAGGATTTTTCACCATTCTCTGCTGGATCCCAGCAGTCCAGGGCACTCACAGAACCACAGTGAAAAGGAGAAAAGGTCAGGAAGAACTGGCCTTTGTCTCTGGCCACTTCTAGCAGCTTGACTGCCTCCCAAGCAATTGTAAAATAATCAAGTCTGAATGAACTGCCGCTTGACAGTGCATGCCACCCAAGATTCTGCACCATGGCCAGCATGAGGCTGGGAATTAATAACTGTGAGTGATTATCATGGAAACTGTCTGCAGGAAAAACGACCAGGTTTTTACTGTTCAACCTTGGGAAGATAAAATCAGGCCTAGCAGAAAAAAGACAAATGACCTAAGAGCAAATGTAGGACTTGAAATCCAAAGAGCATTCTGGGGCCTGATTATACACCTGCCTTGTCTCCCTGTCCTAGAGGTGGGTGATGGTAAGCAGGGGAGGCAACTTCATCCAGCCCATCCACCAACTCAGAAATTTTGTGTTCATCTTAAACGCTCCCCAACCCCTCCTCGCCCCTTTTCTCCTGCACTGTCAATTTTGCCTCTCTGCAGGTCTCTGCCAAGCCCCCTCTTGTGACCTGTCAAGACTCTCCTTGAGTCTCCTGCCACAGCCTCCTTTCTGCTCTTTCTTCATTTCTTCTCTTTTTTCCCAGCGCTACATCTAGAGACCCTGGAAAAACAGAAACATCATTACATATCCCTACTTATAAACCATCAGTGAATAAGAACGGCAAAATATTGATCATTGCTAAGGCTGGGTGATGAAAACATGGAAGTTAATTGTTATTCTTCTCATTATATTTGTGTATGTTTGAAAATGTTCATAATGAATCATATTTTCAACAGCCCTCCAGGGATCTCAGGATAAAGTCTAAAGTCCCCAGACTGGCATTCAAGGCCCCTCAGATCTGCCCCTACCCAATTTGACCAGCTCGCTTCCTGGCACTCACCATGCTGCAGCCTCTCTGTTCTCCCAGCCTTGGCAGCCGCTCTCTCCTGCAACCCTATCTTTGCCCATGCGTCTCCCTCTTGCAGAACACCCTTCCCTTTCTGTCCTACCTAGACAACGCTTCCGTATCCCTTGGAAACCCAACGCAAATGATCCCTAGTCTGGGACAGTTTCCCAGACCCTCCGCTATCTTCTGGGGGGGAGGCGTCCCTTATGCCCTTGTGCCTCTGCAGGCCTAATATACAGCAAACACCTAATATGTGTTTGGGAGAGACCAGAATGTCTTTGTAAATAGAACAGGTGCGATATTTACTTAACTTGGGCAAGTAGGGTAATCTCTCTTGGCTTAAGCTTCTGTCTCTATAAAATGCAGATAATAGCGGTACTTATCTCACAAGGCTAGGGTAACGATTCTCCGGTATAAACAGTCTAACACAGTACCTGGCAGAGAAAGAGAGAGAGAAGCTGACTGGCATACAGACAGACAGACTTCAATCAAATAATATAGTGGATAATTATACAGATTGTCTTAGATGAAATGCTCTCAAACATACAGGAAGGGCACTGCTGTTTAGCTCTTCCTGGGAGCTAGAGAAATTCATGGAAATTCATTGACATCAAAGTCACGATTTTCTGACAGGCCCCAGGGCGGTTGATACTTTGGAGGGTCTTTAGAGGTTGAGAGCGGAGTCCGGGGCCCTCCTCTTTGGAAGGACTGCGGGTCTATGGCCGGGACCTGGCCAGAAATCGCAGGACTACGAGGGCACGGGGTTTGCACAAAAATCAGCCTTGATGACAATTCCCAGTCTGTGAGGTGTTGGCGAGCTCGGGGCGCCTGGGGTAGGGACGCGAGGCGGAAACATCAGAGTGGGGTCCGTTGCAGTGCCCCCCCGCCCGCCAGCCCCGCTCCTCTGGGCGCCCGCGGCCTCGTGCGTCACAAGCGCGGGCGGGGACCGAGGGGAGGGG